ACCAGGATTTCTTCTCTTTCGTCTCTCCCCACAGGGCTAGGGAGGTCTTTAGCATAGGCCCAGCTACAAGTATGAGAAAGAAGCTTGGCAAATGGCTTAAATGAAAAACTACAGTGGTTGTGCCAACTCCTGCAGTATGAGAGTGCCAAGACCCAGAACATGGCTGTTCACCAGCATTTGGCAAGGCGGTGACATCTTGTCACTGCTATCCTTGAGCACTGAGGCCCACACAGGTACACCGACCAGTTGGCTGGGGCAGGATGCGAAGCGGTGCAGGAAAGCCAAGGGAAGACTGCCAGACTTTTCCCAAGGAAAGTCACAGCCACGTTTCTTCAAAATCAGCTACTCCAATGTTTCATTACTCCTGATCGCAAATACAATGAAGTCTCCAAAGGTATTTACCAGTTACACTGATGTGTCACATGGGTTCGATCTTTTATATTCAGGTATCCCAGTCTGCGCTAGTAAGAAAGGGTGAAAACTCTCAGCAAAGGAGAAAATGATCCACTTCCAGTAGAGCATGGTCCTGACATAGAAAGCTGTGAGAGTGCTTTTGGGGCTCAGTGCTGACTGTTGGGAAGGCGCTTAGAGCTGCAGGGAAAGAAAAACCACCCATAAAGAAGTCTGTTTTTACATTTAATTCCTCCTGGGTCCAGAGGAGCAGGGTTTTACATCTTCATTATAATTAAGCTATGCAGCATCTACATAGTTGAATCCATCACCAGGTTCATCCCTTGGTGGGAAGAACCTGCAGCTCAGCTATGGCAAACTTTATATTTGAAAGCTTTACCATGCTAGACGTGTTAGTTAACAGTTCAAGAATCCTTTTGTCGTACTACACGTTATTCATAGCTCAGTGCCGCTCTGCTGTCTTCTTCCAGGCACAGGGATGGCCAGACCTTTTATTTCAGAGACTGCTGCAGGTCATCAGTTTTCTCTATCCAGACGATCATGCAGATACATTGTACTAATGTTCCTTTCCCAGTCTAAAAGATTTTTCCACTGCCAAAGGCTTCCAAGCTCTTCCAGTGTTACCTCTTCTTTACAGAATGCACAAGTCTCATGCTATTCTGCAGTTGTTGGAAACATTACAACTGTCTGCAGCTTTTACACAGGTGAGTATTCACTACAACTTCCTACACAAACTCAAGTTTGGTGGCGTGGTGTGGCATGGCTTTCTCCTGAGGTGGGTATTAAGTTTGGCATAAGGCTTGCTGATCACAAAATGATGTTGCCCATTGCCCTGGTATGATACTTGCGTATCAAAAAAAACATTTCAATAAAGAAGTTCAGGAGACAATTATTGGAGCAACCACAGAAAATAACTAAAATGTCATGTTCCTCACCAGGACATGGTCCAACAGCCATCAAAACAGTATTGCCTTCTGCCTTTGTCCATCAGTTTCCAGCAAAAATACAACTGCAGGTATGTTTCCACATGAGACCCTTTATCTTCTGCCATTTCCAAACCCTATGGAAAACTGAGTGGCTGGTTATGTAAGAAAAAAAGAAACTTGAATTTTATGTGCAAGTACAAACTTAAACCAAGTAAACTGTTACTTGTATTTTTTTGCTCTATAAAAAGTCTAGAAATACAAAGAACTTTGTGCTGAATATAAAAATCACGTTTTCTTTCCAGGTGTCCATAAGAAATACCGGTTTATTTAAAAATAAATATAAAACGTGAAACATACCTTGATTTGGTTTTGCTAAAAAGCGCTCTCATTATAAAAAGGATGAGGGGAAAAAAGGGTGAACTAGTTCCTCTTTATTTCAAGCTTGCTGCATTAATTCAACATTGCATATGAAGCAACAAAAATTCTAGGGAATATAAAAAGTTTCTATGCCTACAAAAGCCTTGATAATACAACACTGAGCTGAAGAACAATGACACTGACATGATTTTAATTTCCAACAAATACCTGGATAAATTAGAGTTTAGGAATACACGCAGTCTATCCTCACAATTACTGGCATGCGGTGGCGCTTAGCTTTGCAGGGCCAATTTCCAGCAGCATAGACCTGCTAACCCAAAATGCGCTTCCTCCCTGCGAGACTGAGCTGCAGCAGCACAGGTCACTCCAGGTTAGACAGTGGGCTGGAGACTGGGTGGTAACTCAGGTCTAGGTGAAAGAGGAGAATTTGGATTTAATATTATACACTAAATAAAAAACCCCCTCCATATTCTTCATAAAATAAGAACATTCTGCATTAAAAAAAATGGCAAACCCCATTTTTAATACCCACAGTTCATTAAGGTACAAACAAAATTGCTGCTTCCCAGGTTCTTTATCACTGCATCTTTCTCAGACTTGTATCCTAAAGGTTCATTCTTCCAAATGGCCTAATTGTGGCAGAGGATAAGGTCAGTGCACTCCCAGATTGCATACTGCCTATCCCTCCTGCAAACTCACAGCGATATGCTCAGCATTTCTGAACGCCTATAGGCTTGCTATACATCTAAAATAAATGGGCAGAGCATGAATATTACAATTACCAGAGAATTTAAAAAAAATCTGCATTCAAAGTAAAAATAAAACTGGAAAATTTCAAAATTTCCTGAGGTGCTCTTTTTGATCAATTAGAACTTTGGCTTCATTTCAATTTAGGCATTTATTTTATAGTACAATGCAAAATATAAACTACATTGTGAACAATATAAAAGCTTTTTTTCCAGACGGGAATGCCAGAACATTTCCATTGTGGTTTTTTCCAAACATATTTTTTAGCAAGTATGATTTTCTGAAGCAGTTAATCTTCAGTGGAGCTGTATTCTCTGATAGAAAAGGGGATTGTTCTTTATTTTTTTGTAGTAGAAATTATGTAGTCCTATAATTTTCCCATCTAAAAGTTCCGTAGTTCTACTTGAATCTTCCCAGTTTCTTTACACAAAAATGCAAGTATGTCCTTTATCATAATTCCCAGTGGAAGTGTCTAGTCATGTTAAACCATCCAGCTTCGGTCCAGCCTAGGCTGAATGGTTTTGTTTTTCATGTATTTGGGTAGTTAGGCAAGTTCTGAAATGAAATAAATACTGGTGTTGATGGAAGAGAAAGCACAAATGAAATGACAGTCTATAAAATCATCACCTCTGCGGAGATGTTGAAAAGGCAAAGTTCGCTCATGTCTCACAGCGAAAGTGAACTGATGGTGTGAAGAAGTGATCAGATGGCAGGATTAAAATGGAGTGCGGGGAGTTTTCCCACAGACAGAATAATTAATCTGAACTCTTTGTGAAAAGACGCAGTGGAACCCAAGAGGGTAAAGTTAGTTACGAACAGATTGGATGAATTCCTGGAGGACGGGTCCGATCAATGGCCATTAAACTCTGGTCAGGAGCTCCCCAAGCCCTGTGCTGGGGGAGGCTCTGCCAGTGAAAACTGACTCTTCTCACACTCCTCCCAAAACCTGTGGTACTGGCTGCTGCTAGAGGTAGGGCGCTCATCGTCTTTGCAAAAATCCAGCCAAATCACAGAGATGCCAATTTCTCTAAACCACAGTAAAGATACACGCTCCTACCTCTATGTACAGAAGTCTGGGTATGCAGCTGAACTATACACAGCTGGGAATCCCGATATACATTCAGCTTGAAAAAGCTGGCTTCAGAAGTCAGGAAATTACAAGGTTAAGTGTCTCACAATGGAGTTTTTTAGGCATCTTCCTCAAAAAGATACTGTGCTAGATACTTCTTAATATGCATTTTTGTTAATAATCTGTTCAATCTAAACTATAAAACGTGCTGTGCAACATGACTGAACGAATATTGCTGTGAGAAATATTTTCCCCTTGTTTGAGTAATTTAAATTTGTAAGGTAACATAAGTTTTTGTATTCCATAAGGTACTGTGTGCAATTTTCTTTCTTGTAAAGCACTTTGAAGCTTTCAAAGGGCACTGTAGGTTAATAAATAATATGGTATTCTTTGCCAGAACTGTAGGGCATTTCCCATAAGTTCTGAATCTTCTTTGCCAGAATTGCAACATGTTGCATGCCAAATCCTGCACACAAATGTTCTGCATGTGGCAAATACACACTGGTAAAGACCAGAGGCATGCCATTCCTGGGTTTCTTAGAGAGAGTGGGGGAAGGGAAAGAAGTGGGAGGGAATAATGAGGGAAGGCAGAGAAAAAAAGGGTCTATGCATACCTCTAAAAAAAAAACCTAAACGAAGAAAAAACAACCCCCCACACCCAAAACAACCCATAACCCACACTTCATTATTTTCAAAGACTGAACTGTTTGCTGCATGCAGCACAAACTCACAGGTACCCAGAGCTGGGTCTTGAGTTTTCCTTCATTTATGGAAATCAGGCCTCCATTTCTGTGATAGCTGTAGATTCTTCAAACCCAGATGTCTGTAAGGGTGGAAACACCTGCAATCTGTGCTTCTCCAAGCACATGCTAACGTAAACAGAGAGGCTGCGAGCTTGGAGAAGCGTGGTCAGGATTACCACTATTTAACAGGCTGTGAAAATGAATACTCTTCTTCAGGCAAAGTAGTGAATGCATTTCATACGCCCTAGGCTACTGGGAATAAACCAAGACCAATATTTATTAAGAGCGAACACTCGCCTTTTTTGCAGTCTCCCCCACGGACAACTAGGCTCCTATTTCTGTAGCTTGGAAGAGGAGGAGTGTAAAGCAGTACGACCCAGAAATGAAGTCAGTGCATTTGGCCACATATCACATAGGTTGGATTTCTGAAGGATACTACAAGTCGAGTTTAAAATGTCTTCGGTTATAATTTTTCTTGATTTAATCTCTTTATGCATTAAGCACAAACAAGTAAATTTCAACATTCCTCGCGAGTTTGGACTGAACATGTACAGTAATTCAAAAATTTTACCATTTCCTGCCCTTCACTAAATTTTAAGAAAACGGTGACAAAAATTGTTAATCACCTAGCAACAACCAACTAGTTTAAAAGGCACTAAAATCTACTTAGACATAATCAGGCTTTAAGCACCACGATTTGCTCCATGTTTAAAAAACAAACTGACGTTAAAACTGAACTCCGCATTCCGCAACAGTAAATGAACGTTTTACTACATGGTTTCTTTTGAGGTGGCAAGAAATGACTGTAAAAGCTTTGCTGTTCCCAGAATTACATTGCTTAGAGAAAAATATCCTGTGGGTTACCATTTGTTGCCATGATTTACAAAGATAAGGTCTATAGTCTGTATCGGTTTCATGCTGAAGTTTGAAAGGAAAAAAACTTTCTGCAGAGTTTGTAGATTTCTGCATAAGTGTCTGTGTTGTTGCAAAGAGGGCTAAGTGATGCTCCCTCACAAGCTTTTCAAGAAAGTTAGCACATTTCTTCAGATTCATCTCCTGCAACTTAAGACTCTCCCCTCCGTTGCTTCTATCTATCCAATAAAAAGCTGATATGCTGTCTAAAATCAAGAGGCAGAGAGAGGGGTGAGTGCAAAACATGTTTTCTAAAGAGTAGAGAGTGAGGAGCAACTGAGTGCTGCTATTGCAGTTCACAAGAAAAAGCCTTCCCAGGCATCGCTTTATTATTTCTTCCGTCCTTTGTGCCAATCTGTTCTCCAGAATGGTAACTAGACGAAGCATATCAAAATGGTAGTCTGTATCAATGAACATGACTTCTACTTCCAGTCCTCCTCCTGACTTTGGAATGATGCAGCGGGCTATTAGGTGATAAAGCATTTCTGTTTTTCCTGTTCCTTCTGGACCGTGGAATTCAACGACATCTCCTGTTCAAAGACAAAGCAGCAAGCTGTCAGGTAAGAGAATTTAGAGCTCAGTTTTCATTGTTTACTGAACCAATATTTGCTATTCCACTAAATGGAAAATGCATTTTTGAAAGTTTGATATCCATAAAATTGCTTAAATCCTGGTTAGCATCTACTAAGGGAAATTGCAATTTTCAAGAAAGGCCTCTAAAGTGAAGAAAATCAACTGGGAAAAAAGGTTGAAAAAACCCTGCCAACAGCATCTAGGACACAGATATCAATAAAAGGTATAGATTTCATCTATATCATTACAGGTAGATGAAGGCTGAAAAGGAAGCTGCTACACAAAAGTGGCTAAGAAACCATCTATTTACACTATGTGCACAAAATTAAGAAATAAATAAAAAAGTAGAGGACAAACAAAAGAAAGTTGCCAAATTAGAGGTACAAACCATGTTGGCACATCTATTTTTATAGCACAGACTGTCCTTCAGCATTTCATGTCTGCTGTATGCTTATTCAATATCTGCATGTCACAGGATACCAACAGGAATCTGTGACCAGTAAAGAGAACACCAGTGTATTTATTTAGCACTTATATTACTCTGTGGTGATCACATGAAACTGCTGCTTTTTACAAGGGGGACTCACAGATTTCTTCAAGTCCAGGCAACAACTCTACAGTCTGAAGACTCTAGTCGGAAGCAAAGGATCTTTGTTCACAAATCATGGAATCATAGAATGGTTTGGGTTGGAAGGGACCTCAAAGCCCATCTAGTTCCAACCCCCTGCCATGGGCAGGGACACCCTCCACTAGACCAGGTTGCCCAAAGCCCCATCCAGCCTGGCCTTGAACACTTCCAGGGAGGGGGCATCCACAGCTTCTCTGGGCAACCTGTTCCAGTGCCTCACCACCCTCACAGGGGAGAATTTCTTTCTAATATCAAACCTAAATGTACCCTACTTCAGTTTAAAGCCGTTCCCCAATGTCCTGTCACTCCATGCCCTTGTAAACAGCCCCTCTCCAGCCTTCCTGTAGGCCCCTGGAAGGGTAGGTATGAGGAAGGCTCATATGAGGTCTCCCTGAAGGCTTCTCTTCTCCAGGCTGAACAATCCCAACTCTCTCAGCCTGTCTCCATAGGAGAGGTGCTCCAGCCCTCTGATCATCTCCATGGCCTCCTCTGGAGTCACTCCAATAGCTCGGTGTCTGTCTTGTGCTAAGGACCCCAGAGCTGGATGCAGTACACCAGGTGGGGTCTCACCAGAGCAGAGTGGAGAGGGAGAATCCCCTCCCTTGACCTGCTGGTCACGCTGCTTTTGATGCAGC